CCATTGTGTCAACTAATATTCAGACCTATTTGCTGAACTTCAAACTAATATTCAGACCTATTTGCTGAATTTCAAACCAATAACTCCAAAGTCCCCGAGGGACTACTCAAATGACACAAGGAAAACGAATACTTACTCCCCCAATACCCTGGCGCCGTCTCTTCGGACCCACTTAGCCTGGTTGACTCATTCACTGGAGAGCCTTTAACCTCCCGGGTGTCCCGACTCATGGTTCCAGTGCCATGGCAGACTCCAAAAGCGGTCTGGTGGCCACTTCACGGACACCTTTTCCGGTCTTGTCGTCCGACCCTGGGGTGGTCCAAGGGCTTCTCCTGGCTGGCTCACCAAATTGTTGCACAAATTGCTAGTTTCATGCCCCTGGAGGCTTTGTCTAATTTACCTCAAGGAGAGAGTCACACACTCAGGCTGGGTCCAACTCGAGTTTATTGTTTGCAAACAAGTTCGACAACGGAGCTAAGTCCTCAAAGCGAAGTCGACCCCGAGCCCCCAACGTGATTGGTTATATTTTTCTGCAAAGTTTAGTACATGCGTAGTCCTAAAACGGAACTGCGGCAAAAAGACCTGCCGCATGCACAGTCCCGACCTATGTGCCCCTTAGTAACCTTGTGTTTTGGTGTAACTCTAGGATAATGAGCAAGTACGATGATTACAAAATTTAGGTGTTCTAACAGGAAGCTTTGAACCTTATCACAAAGCGAGCGTTGCCTGGACTGTTTCTTATTATGACACTGCTTATCTACTGCAGGAAGAGAAAAAGAAAAAGCAGCCCCCACACAAGGCTGTAAGGCCTTGTGCAGCTTGCATAAGAGATCATGAGACATTTTTACCACAATAAGGGTAAAGGAAAGTAAAGATATAGATACATTTGCACATATTTCACTAAACACCAGTGGTGGAATCCTGGTCCCATTAAATGGACCAAGGAATTTAAAAACAACAATTAACTTCAATGGAACCAGTCATCTTGAAAGCCTTTCTAGAATACAAGGATTGGAATAACATTCAGGAACAGTAAGGAAGCATGGAGCACAGTTACATAATGTACAGGAATGTGTTCATTATACTTAATGAAGATGGATTATATAGTCGATATGTCGCTTCTTATGGAAAATATTTATAGTGACATTTCAATATTTATGGCAAAATAAAACACTACAATTTATTCATTGTTACTGCACTACTTCTCACTTAGCATTAATATACCAAGTGGGGGCTTCTAAACACAGGAATATATGTCAGCCAAGAATAAGTTCAGAGCTGAGAGTAAAGCTTAGGATGTTTAATGTATCTTGACTTTCCTTAAGTGGTTGGTAAAGAACTGGCAATGAATTCACTATTCTCCTTATGCATTGATTCCTGTTTATAGCAAGCTACCAAAAATTATAATATAGAGATTGAACGCTCATATAATGGTTCTTTTACTAGAGGCTGCCATGAAAGGACTGGTGAAACTAGAACGAATTACAGTTAATGATAGACTCTTTCTCAGAGAATTAAACCCTTTAATTGGTCAGTCAGGTTGGGAATTTGTGAAGGGAAAAGTGATGTTAAAACCTACCCATTGTACTTTGACAGATGTATCTGTCTCAGGTAATTCAACGTTGGGAGTGGGGCTTTAATTAGAGCACTTCTGAGAGCTGCTCTAATTAAAGTGCCCAGAGCATCTCATGTATCAGTGTCTCCATGCTTAAAAATGGCAGTGGGGGGACTTTAACTAAAGCTCATTAAACAAGCTTTGGTTAAAGTGCCCCTGCCACCATTTTCAAGCATGGGGATGCTGATACATGAGTCGTTGGAGTTGGCCGGAGTGCAGTAATTACCATGACTAATTACCACAATTAATTAAGTCTGATCCGATGCACTGTAATTACAGTGCATCGATGCAGCCTCACTGCTTGTGTATAAGTGCCCAAAGTTCTAACTATTGTAGCTGTGCTTTTGAAGTCGAAAAAGGGATGCCAAGAAGAAGGAGTTTTTGTTGTTGTTGTTGCAATAATCAGGTTGTTAGAGAACTATATAAATATTCAGATTTAGTATCATCTTGGAAGGAAATTCACACAGCATACAAGGTCCATGTACCAATTAAGTTATATTTTGAAGATCTAAATAATATGCAGTAGGACTATGCGACTAGGCAGCTATTTGATCCGGCTTTGGATCTGGCCACTTCGGATGCCAGGGATCTGATCTGGAGCTCTGGACCGGGTTTCGCCAAAGGCCTCCAAAGCTTCGGAGCCACCTCGGATATCCGGCTATAGGGTATAATGGGGAATCAATGAAATATCTATAACTTTGTTGCTTTTTGTCTGATGTGGATGAAACTTGCCATGATGGTAGCCTCTGCTGAGAGCATGAAGTATGCCTTGTTTCAAGAAGATCAGTGCATGGGTGTGGGAGGAACTGTACCCCAAATTCTTGAAAGCAAAACTCATGTCACATCTATGTGTTACATCATGGGGAACTGAAAACTGCAGGGATGGTGGCCCCTGCTCAGGCCACAAGGCCTGCCAAGTTTCAAGGAGATAAGTGCAGGGGCTTGGGGGAAACTGCACCTCTAGCTGCGGATAAGCAAAATTCATGACATGCATGACACTGTGTGTGTTAAGGCGGAGCAGGGTGAAAGCTACATGGGGGGTGGCCCCTGCTGTGGCCACAAAGCCTGTCCGCTGTCAAGGAGATCGGTGCAGGGGAGTTCTGGGTTTTGAAGGTGTTAATTCTTGCCAAATAACTGGTTCCATTAGCTAGCAACTGTGTATTGAGCTGGTCCCTGAGTGAAACATGATTGATTGGTAACTGGTAACACAGTAGTTTAGCAGCACGGCCTGCAGTAGTTCCCCCCAAGACAGAGACAGTCCGTTGCACAAGCACCCATGTCACGAGTTTTGCCTGTCAGCAGCTAAGGGTGCAGGGCCCCATAACTCAAAACCCCTGCACCTATCTCCTTGACAGCTGGTAGGCTTTGTGGCCTCAGCAGGGCCTACCATCCCTGCAGCTTTCACCCATGTCATGAGTTTTACTTGTCTGCAGCTTGAGGTGCAGTTTTCCCCAACCCCCTGCACTTATCTACTTGAAACTTGGCAGGCTTTGGGGCCTCAGCAGGGTTCACCACCCCTGCAGTTTTCAGTCCACTGTGCCTTAGCGCACACATTGTCACCCATGTCACAAGTTTTGCCTGTCAGCAGTTTGAGGTGCAGTCCTCCCTGAACCCCTGCACCAATCTTCTTGAAACGTGGCAGGCTTCATGCTCTCAGCAGAGAGTACCACCCCTACAATTTTCATCCAAATTAGACAAAAAACAACAAAGTTACAGATATTTCATTGATTCCTCATTATACCCTATGGCAGGATCTCCGAAGCGACTCCAAAGCTTTTTTGAAGCACTTCAGAAAGCCTAACAAAGCCAGTGCTTCGATTCAGACATGCTGCTTCAGATGCCAAAGTGTCCGAAGCTTCTCTGGATGTGAAGCAGGGTCCAAAGCCTTGCACAGCCCTAATAGGCAGGCCTCTCTGCTGAGGGGTGAATTTCTCTCTGGGTTGTGTTTAAATGAAGGTCTGGAACCACATCCATGTCTAACAGTATGTAGCTCCACTGAAGTCAATAGAACCACACAGACATATTCCAGCTGAGCATCTTCCTCACATGCTTTCTAAATGCAAAAGTGGGTTAATGCTTCTTGCATCTAATACAAAAATAAACAAAATACAAATGCAAAATACAAAAATGCATCAGAAAGCCTACATAATTTTCATCTAAAGGTTCAATTAGACAAAATAAAGTATCTTTACATGCACCACTATGCTTCAGTTCCTCATCGGTAAAATGCACATGATTCTCCCTTTCTCTTCCATCTATTGTTTACCATGTCTATTTAGAGTGCAATTTATCTGGAAAAGAAACTAACCCTTTTCATACATTTGTGCAGTGCCTAGAATGAAGTGCCTTTTTCTTCACAAGAGCTGTTAGGGTAGAAATGGACACTTTCAAATGAAGTGGATCTGTTTTACTGGGGTGCGTCTTGGTGCAGGTGATCTGCTTCACTGGGTGAAATGCACATAACCTGCTGTCTCACAGTTTCAATGGGTGGAAGAATAGGTGATATGTTCTCTTAGGCCTTGAAGGGCCCATCCCTACAAACCCCAGGAATTCCTGGGCAGAATCGGGCCCCTCAAGCCTTGGAAGTGCCTGCCCAACTTTCCCTGAATACCAAGACATGTTGCTTATATTAATTTTACGGCATCACATCCAGTGAGTTGCAGCATCAGTCTAAATCAAAAGAAAAATTCTATTCTCCATAACTAGAAGTTTCCAACCCAATAATGAACTAGAATCACAACATCAACAATACAGTGTTCTATTCTGCAGTGGGAAATTCTTGATTGCTACCTAATTATGCTTCTGCAGGACAGAGGAACATGATGTGCACCATGTATGGTTAGATGGTACCAGGGGTACCAGGGGTACCAATTGCATTGTTTCAATGAAAGAATAGATCTTGGACTTGGTGCCAAGCTTGTACAAGTGGATTTGGTAAAGCAGATTTTGTGGAATCATAGTAATGGCTCTTCCCACAACTCTTATGGGCTCAACAGCTGATTGCTTCAGGAGTGCTACTGAGAATGCCATTGATGGTATATGGGTATAAGAGAGATGCCCATTGCCTTGAATCTTAGGAACAGACACTTCATTTTATAAATTCAATAGCAAAGTGAATGTTACTCAATTTTGTATAATTGTGTACACATTGTTACAAATATTGATCTATACAAAAAAGGTGAGGATAAGATTATAGGGTTTTAGCATTGGGAAGCTGAAAGGAGAGGCCCAAGCTCCTATAGTCAATTGGATGCTTCATATTGAAGGGTCAGATATGAAATAGGGAATGTGGGGGAGGGGGTTGACCACAGCATCAGCAGAACAACAGTTACAATCTGGAAGTTACTACTTGATTTTTCTGAGTAACATTGATCTTTCATTTCAGGTTCACCATTTAAAGGGTGAGATGGCTGTCATTCATGATGTGCATGAAAAGAAGCAGATGTCTGATCTTCAGGAACAGCTGAAAACAACCAGCAGTGGTGAGATAAAAGCAGAAACAAGAAGCTCCAACCTTTTTCAAATGGAAACAACACAAAAGAGCAGGTTTGTTGGCTTCTGCACTTACCAGAGACTCTGGTATTTCCTGTATTGCCCATTTCAGGCATTCAGAAACTGAGACAAGCTTTCTGTTTCTCCAAAATGTAAGATGGATGTAGGAAGAATGCATTTTTCCAGAAATAATACACTTTTAGATTCTTTTTTCTTTCTTTTCCTTTGCTTCCCGGTTTCTGAGCCTTTAGGATGGACTCACTTGAGAATTTCAAGTTTTACTCAGCAACCAGACAAGCTAGAAACTTCCTGTTTTTTTTAAATGAAAGCTAAGATTCTTAAGCAATTCCAGGAGCTAGAATAAAATATGCAAGAAGTGTTATAAAATCACAAGACCTGGCAACACTGTGTATGTGTGCTCAATAACTAAGTAGAGTTCTATTGTATGATTTATGACCCCTGCAAGTAAGACCTTTGAAATGTTTTCTGCTGATTTTCTTTTTGGAACATTGATTTTTTCAAAGGTATCCGAGTGGGTAAGTGCTTATGACACAAAAGGTAAGTACTAAGCAGAATTGCTTAAACAGAGTGAAATTTATGACTGAGTACAGGACAATACCAAGATCTAGCTATTATGTCAAGTTTATACTAGGCTTGTCTACACATGCTTTTATGTGTGCCTAAACTTAATGCTCATTTGCCTAATGTGCATTAAGTTGATTTCGGCATGCATCTACACATGCATGTGCTAAGGCGCATTAACATGCTGTGGGAACTGACTTGGAATGAAAGTTAGTCCAAAGACAGTCAACATACACAGCATTAAAGCACCTTAGTGCATCTACATGTGTGTTAAGGCGCTTTAGCTATTCGTGCCTAAATTTGATACAGTATAACCTCATAAATCCGGATATAAAATATATGGAATTATGAAAAACCCAGCACTTTGATAAAACTACACTCCATCAGGGAGTAGCAGGGGCCAGTCCCAGAGCAGTGGAGGGGGAAGCTTGCACTCACTGGCTCCTGCCACCATCCACCACCCTGTGCCACCACTCTGCATGTGGCTGCTGCTCTGGGACCAGCTGCTGCTATCCCTGCCCATCCCTCCCTCCCCTCAACCCCCAGCTCTGGGACTGGCCACCGTTTAGGTCCAAAAATCCAGGATTTTCACATTTCTGGCAGGTGTTTGGTCCTGAGCATGCCAGATTCATTAGGTTATAGTGTACATTCTTTTGCAGGTATCATATTTAGGCATGAATAGCCTAAAATCACCATTTTTGAGGAACATAAAGGGCATGCATGTGTAGACCCATGCCATTAATGCACCTTAAATGGGCATGTGTAGACATGCCCACTGATGATGTAAACAGTGCACAAGCAACTCTGGGGCAGAATTCATCCAGATGTTTCTATGAAATATCAACATTATTTACATATTAAAGAGGTAACATCTTTCTGATGTCATTGATATTTTACTATAAGAGCTGAACTGTATCTCAAATCAGCGGTGATGCATAGGGGGTGCACAGGGGTGCACATGCACCCCCTGAGAGCACTGGTGCATCCCCTGAGTGGCTATGTTTACCACTTAGGTGATGGGCAGGGGGGCAGGTGGGAGCGCCAGTGTCCCCCCTGCAAGTGCCGGCTGGGGAGTGGGGTGCAGTTGTGCTTTCAGAAGCAGCCGCAGCCACTCCCAGAAGTGGCCAGAGCACAATTGACCACAGGGAACCATCCCCCGATCAGCGGGATTGGATGTGGGGGGACCCCTCACCCCCCCCGGTCACTGACTGGTCACTGGGGGAGCACGTGCCCCCTCTGACTAAGGCGGCACCAGTTGCCCATGTCTCAAATGCATGTGCAGTGTTCACCTAAGAACCTTGGAGTTGTACATGTGTTTTAAAGGCAGAATTTGCTTCTTAGATGGTCAAAATGGGATCATCAAATAGTACTACCAGTCTAAGGCATTCAAAAATCATAATTCAGACTTCCAAAGTTATTAGATTTACTAAAGAAAAATCACACTGTATTTACTTGATTCTAGGATGAAGTGTCTCCCCCACCCTGCCATTTAACATGGGGGGAAAAGTCTCATGTCTTAGAATCAAGTACAAAGGTGGTGGGGGAGCAGGCAGCTGCTGTGCCCTGGACTCTAGCTCCTACCCCAGGATCAGAGCCATAACCCACAGCTGCTGCATGTCCCCCTTGCCCATTCCTGCCACCTCTGCACCTTGCTATGTCCTTCCTGCAGCCTCTTCTCCCCATTCTCCCTCCACTATGCAGCTTTGACTCCCTCACCTGCCTCTCTCCTTCCCCCACTTACCTTTGCTCCATGCTGGCAGGATCCATGCATGCTGTAGCCTGAGGTACTGAGCACAGCTCCAGCCCAGTCCCCTAGCAGTGGCATGCAGGCCTTACAGCTACTATGGGTATGATATGGGGCTGTGCTCCATGCCCCAGGCAAGAATAGGGACAGAGTCTGCTGACATAGAGCAGAGGCTGGGGGGAGGAGGGAACGGGGCAGGGGGAGGGGGGATAAATTAAACATGATGCTCCAATAATTTGATTGTATACATGGAAAACTATTACAAATTTATACATTTTCCATGTATAGCATTATTATTAGAGGGTCATCTTAAATTTGGGGTCATCTTAGATTTGAGTAAATGTGGTAATTAAAATAGATTTTTTTCCCCCTGGTTTCTGGTTAATTAGATTAATTCATTCCACATTTTTCTCAGCAACCATTATAGCTTGGAAATTCCTTTAGGAATACTGGAGCTGGGGTGGGCAGGGTAGCCATGGGGGGCTGGGGGAGCAGAGGGGGTTGAGG